CTTCCTGGAAAAGCTGTCAGGGCAGGGCTGGAATGGCCCCGCTCAGCCAGAAAGTCTGCTTGTGGGGATGGGGCTGTCTGAAAACCACAGTCTGGAGCAGGCCTCGCTTCTTTCCACCCTCCCCAACTCCGCAGCTACTCCTAGGCCTCTGCCAGCAGTCCCGACCACTCGCCTCCAGGCCTCCCCGGATTGTGATGCCAGCAGGGTGGTTCCCTGTGCTGAAACGCCACCTGGGATGGGCATATGGCCTCCTTTTGGGAGGTGGCCTCCTTTTGGGAGGAGGCCATATGCCCTCTTGGATGCTGATCTGCCCGGAAGACCCCCACACCTCAGTAGGCTGTTCACAAATATCGCTTCTGTGCCCCGGACAATGCTAGACCTCGGTGCACGGGATCTGGTCTGCAGATCTGACCTCTGGGTCCCAGAGTTCAAACTGTATCCCCACCAGGGAGAGGAGTGCTGGTCCCAATTCACCCACAGGAAGCCCAAGCTGGGTCTGTGTCCCTCAGCCTCTGAGTCAGGACAGTTCTTCTGGGAACACCATGCCAGCAGCACCTGGGAGGGCTGGCAGGTAGGGAGCTCACCGTCTTAGTTCCCCTTTTCAGCTGTAGGGTCCCAAAATGGAAGGTCCCATTCCCTGGAGGTGCCTCCGGCTGGTGGCTGTATTGTCTCTCTGGGCAGCCGCCGATAGGGCCGGCGTAGGGGAGAGTGAGGCAATATGTCGCCTGCCATGAGGCTCGGGTTTGTGCACACGGAGGTGCTCGGAGGGAGTTGGGAGCCTGGTGCCGCGTCCGCTACAGGCTCACCGCTAGCTGGTGGCGGCCGTCTCTGGGCTGGTGTCCGCAGGTCTCTCCACCCGCTGGGGAGCCCAGCAGCAGTCCCAAATGCAGGGGAGGGGAAAGGTGACTGGTCCACCTACCCTTCCCGCTGGTCTCCGGGCTGTTCCGGCAGTCTCAGCTTCCAGTTCTCCTCCACAGCCTCTTCCAGTGGAGTCTCCTGGGGTCTCAGGTACTCCTCCTTCCAGCCCTCATCAGCTGTATGCTTGTCTTCTTGCTTCTTTTTTCTAATTTCTGCTAGAATCTGTCTTTTCTGCAGAGACACTCTGTCTGGCGGTGTTTCTCATCCACCATCTAGATCCTCCCCCATGAGAGTGGAGTTTTCTGTCTTCCATGTACCAACATTTTCAATAAAGCAACTCCATCATTTAAAAACAATTATATATATATGCTCCTATACCCCAGTATTGTGTAATTATTTATTTATAAATTAAATATATGAGCTGCTATCATTGGCTAATATCCCAAAGCCCAATAAATACCTAGGACAAGATTTATTATGAATAATAGCGAATGTGAATACATATTTCAAATAGTCTTGATAGTTTCAAATTTTTTTGCTGGCTTCTTGTTAGATTTGATTAGTTCATCATTATTTTTTACTTTATAACATGGTTGAAGAAAAGTTTATATCAAGAATAAAAGAAGTGTCAGCCTGCCTTTTTCATGTTCGCTTGTGCTTCCATTATTAGCATTGCTTTCAAGCCAGTGCTTCTTTCAGAAACCTTTTTAAGCTACCTACCCATGTTCGAATAGCTAACTTATTTCAAGTTAGGTAACAGATTGGGCAAATCCCCTTGCTTGGACACAAGTAAACTGCGAGGCCTCCTGATGTCCTGAGGGTAAAGGAAACAGGAAAGGCACCACTGCTGGCCCTTCCCAGATGAGTACCTTCCCCACTTCCATTAAGACACCACATGAGTCTGCCTCAGAGTTAGCCATAACCTCTGCTGTGTCAGCCACTGTTGATCAATATATTAGAGTACAGCTCAATTTCTATTTTGAATATGTCAGGTCAAATGAAAATGAATGTAGAGAAATTCATAAGAGGCATTGCCATACCACAAAGGGTAATCATTTTTCCCCCTCTGGCTTCAAGGACAAAGCCAGGTTCATTAGGGCCAGAAGCTTATACAATTTTGAGGCCATATTTTTTAAAAGAATATAAAATTCTAGTGTACAATTAGATATGAAAGTGAATATTTATTTAGAATAAGAAATCACAATGAAATACAAAATTTAAGAAGCTGACAATATGAACATCACAAAATCTAGAAAAGTAATATTGTTTAGTAATTAACTGCTTTACACTCTCCTATAATACTTTTTTCCCTACATTTTTTCACTGCATACTCTATGATCACTTCTTCATATTGAGAATGATTTTGTAATATCATTTTCTAAAACATCTTCAGCATAGTTGATCAAATTATGTTTTTCATTTTTGATAGTTTATAAGTTTCTTTCATATTTATAACTCATTGACAATGTCAATGGGATAGCTGTCAAACTTGGTATGAGCAGCAATGGCATTTCAAGATTTCTTGTCCAATCGTTAATTTCATATACTGTTTGAATTGATGACACTCATTAACTAGTTTTCCATCAGTGTCCTCATTATTAAAATATTTTCTGATATAATGTTACTCTTATTAATGTCAATACTTCTTGCAAACTCAGCAAAACTTTAAATTTTTCCAATGTGATCATATGATTTATTCTTCTTCATTAATTGGATTACTAAACAAACCAAGAGCTGCTTCATTACTTATATTCTAAATTTATTTTTTCCTCTTAATAAATTACCACTTTTGGTATGATCTGAAATCTTTCACTACAGTTTGCTCCCCTATATCAGAATAATCTCTGCTGATTTTATCATTCAATCACTTATATTTCATATTTCACAAATTTTTATCTTAATTATATATTTGTAAATTAAATTTAAAATTATAAAAGGCACACTTCATATATTTCTATATAAGGAATCTGACATATCTCATTTATTTCAGTGAAACATTCCAAAACATCTTTCTAAATGCAGTAATTATTACTTTAAAAGCCAGGAATTTTTCTGGGCATTTTGCTGGGTGGCTAATGCCTATAATCCCAGCTATTCAAGGAGCTGAGGCAAGCGGGTCATTTGAGCCTAGGAGTTTAAGCCTTCAGTGTGCTATGATCGTACCACTGCTCTCCAGCCTGGGAGATGGAGTGAGACCTGGTCTCTAAAATAAACCAAAAAAAAAAAAAAAAAAATTAAACCTAGGAATTCTGAGGAATTTGATTTTACACAACTCCCACTAAAAAAAGAAGAAAAACGTATGGTAGATTTAGAATAGTATATACTGCTTATCGAGTATGCTCATGAAGGAGTGTGCTTCCAATTTAAGTAGATGTCAAAGAAAATCTAACCTTCCACTTGCAATTTTATACAGCTGATAAATGGAAAGATTTTCCACAGACCAGCTTCTGGATCCATACATTGCAAACCTTGTTTCTCCTACACTATCCACATACTTCTTGTTCCAGGCACTATAGGACAAGTTTATATTACAATATGGCATCTGCCTTAATGTCACACCACCAGGAAAATTGGAACAGGGGATGCGGAAGTATTCCTGGAAGTCATTCCTATTTCTTGTTAATTTTTGAGACAGAGTCTCACTCTGTTGCCCTGGCATCAGCCTAGCTCACAGCAACCTCAAACTCCTGGGCTCAAGAGATCCTCCTGCCTCAGCCTCCCAAGTAGCTGAGACTACAGGGATGCACCACCATGCCTGGCTAATTTTTTCTATATATTTTTAGTTGTCCAGCTAATTTCTTTCTATTTTTAGTAGAGATGGGGTCTCGCTTTTGCTCAGGCTGGTCTTGAACTCCTGAGCTCAAACGATCCACCCACCTCAGTCTCCCAGAGTACTAAGATTACAGGCATGAGCCACCGTACCTGGCCAGTCATTCCTATTTTAGATGGTCTACAATAGCTTTATTATGCAGGCAAGTGACTGTGAGCAATATAAATATAATTCTCAACTCAACTCCTTAGCTGGATCCTAAAAATGCCCACCACCACTCCAGTCCCACCTGACTTGATAGAAAACCGGACAAAGAGTGAGGCAAAGTATAAAGAGAGTCTCAACTGATTGCAATTAAAATGTCTTACTTTTGCACATTTAACAAAAACATATGAGCTGGGCACAGTGGCATGCACCTGTGGTGCCACCTACATGGGAGGATGAGGCAGAAGGATCACTAAAGCCCAGGAATTTGAGACAATAGTGTGTTTTGATGGATCCTATGAATAGCCACTGCACTTCAGCACTCCAGCCTGGACAGCATAGTGAGACCAGTCTCTTAAAAAATACGTAAATAGGCTGGGCACGGTGGCTCACGCCTGTAATCCTAGCACTCTGGGAGGCCAAGGCAGGTGGATTGCTCAAGGTCAGCAGTTCGAAACCAGCCTGAGCAAGAGTGAGACCCCATCTCTACTATAAATAGAAAGAAATTAATTGGCCAACTAATATATATATATAATTAACCAGGCATGGTGGTGCATGCCTGTAGTCCCAGCTACTTGGGAGGCTGAGGCAGGATTGCTTGAGCCCAGGAGTTTGAGGTTGCTGTAAGCGAGGCTGACACCATGGCACTCACTCTAGCCTGGGCAACAAAGCGAGACTCTGTCTCAAAAAAAAAATATATGTAAATATATAACATAATAAAATTTTATATATATCTTGCCAACATATCGGCAGAGCTCCTTCCAGAACCTTGGAAGGGGTCTATGCAAGTGAGAGGCTGAAGCTTAAGCTTCATTAGCTTCACAATAACTCTACCTTTAACTGGACCATTCCTCACAAGGACTAAACATTAACACAAGGGTGTTAATACTTAGACACCGAGTCTAAGAGAAAAGGCAGAAGTTACTCAGTGTCTTTGCTTCCCACAAATACCTTCTCATCAGGTACTGAATAAATACACTACATTTAGGACTATAAAACACGTTTCCAACAGTATAAGCATGTGTGCACATACTAAGTCATGAAAGCTACATAACTTATGGGTATTGTAAAAATGTCAAATTATATTTTCCAAGTTCAACATATAAAAATTTTAAATATGCAACTATAGTCATTCATGTATATCTGAGGGCTTACATTTTTATTGCAGAAAACTGCCAATGAACTAAAAGGAGTCCTGCCAGCCTTAGACAAGGCAGTTGTGGCTCTCAACGCCCTAGATAAAGCTGATGTCGCTGAATTAAGGTAAGTAACTTGCCTGATTTTCTTTTGGGTTGGAAAGCTCTGACTAAAACATAAATATATGGTGAAAGTTAGTAAGCCTATACTTATATTTTTAGTTTAAGTAGTTTTTACTGTCTTGGTTACTTTAAAGTTTTCACTATATGTGGTAGACACTATATCTTATCAATTTTATGATGCCATCAATTGTAAGGCATACCAGTATTTTTTATACCCTTAAAAGAAAAATGCTGCCAGTTAAACTATGATGTGCAATTTGTTATAAACTGAATCCCAGTCTCTTGAGATTTAAAAATGTGCATCCTAGAAGTAATAAAACACAGTTATTACTTGGCCTGTAATTTCAAAAATGTTTACACTGATGCTGCTCGTGCCAGATTAGCTATAGAGCATTTGGGATCTGTAGGAACGCCGCTAACATCTATCTGAGAATGCAGTGCTGGCCATTACCACAAGGTGTCACTATGGGAAGTGCTTCCCCTTGCTGTGCCTTTTCCCAAACTCAATGATGAGGGTGGTGATTAAAGAGAAGTACCTAAGAAAATACAGGAAGCAATTCATGTAACCAAAACGTTTGTACCCCATAATACTCTGAAAGATAGATAGAAAGAAAGAAAGAAAGAAAGAAAGAAAGAAAGAAAGAGAAGAAAGAAAGAAAGAAAGAAAGAAAGAAAGAAAGAAAGAAAGAAAGAAAGAAAGAAGCAAGGAAGGAAGGGAATGAAAGAGTGAGGGAGGGAAGGAGGGAAAAAGAGACAGAGAGAGAGAAAGAAAAAGAAAGAAAGAAAAAAGAAAAAGGAAATGAGTTTATACAAATCAACATGTATCCAATGCCTAACTTGAAGATGTTTTTCAGTACATTCTTGAGAATTTGACCAATATTAATACATGGCATTTTTCTATTTCTAGAATATTTGTCACAAAACAAAAATCAGAATAGGATAATTAATGCAATCTATGTTTTTAAATTTATTTTAAGAATTCTATCTTTGAAATACTAAATATTTTATGGCATTATCTTTTCAAGTTTTAAAATGATTTTTGTATGGCATTTTTTTTGTTAATTGTCTTTTAATGTTTTCTGTTACCACATGTCTGTATCAGGTGGAGATCATTTTTATCATTTTTACATGTAATTGGAATATATAAACTTTTCACAATATATTGTTTCTAATAATAAAAAAAGGAAGGAATGAAATACCTTGGGGTACAAAGATATGGTCCTATTGGTTCTAATTTGAATGTTTGGGTGAGAGAATTTTTAGCTTGAGCTCTCCAACTCAACAAACAATGGGAATCTGCCTATTATATCTTGAAATGTGTTGAGTTTTCCATTATTTATGAATGTAGTGTTTTAATAAAAGATGTAGCAATATGGAGCAAGTCTACTGTGATATTTATAAAGCATTATTAACTTTTAGAGTAAAAATAGAAAACAGCAGAATTATTTTTAATTTATTTTTATGGTGAATAACAGATCATATTACAGTGTTTCATTTAACAACCTAAAGTTGAAAAACAAATGCACAGAGACAAAGAAGAGAAGGTTGAATTTTTCACTTCCTTTTCCTTTTCTTTCCTTATTCATATGCATTTACTCTCATACACTCATTTATCCATTCAGAAAATATACTGAGTACACACTATGTGCCAGGCCCATTCCAGACACTAAGGTCACAGCAGGAAATGGTTGGGGAAGACCTTTCCAATGAGGTAACATTGGAGCAGAACACTGAATGAAGTCTGGAAGTAAACTAGTCAGGTAGCTAGAGGAAGAGTGTTCTAAGCAGAGGAAATGGAAAGCACAGATAACTTAAGGCAGAAATGTGCTTTGGCAGGTTTCAGGAACTGCAAAAGACCAAGATGGCTAAAACTCAGTGAGCAAGAGGGTGTGTCAGGAGATGACATCAGAGAGGTAACAGGGGCCAGTCCTTCCCCAACACAGCTCTCCCTGCCTCCCAGGTACCTCATGACTTTATTCCAGAAGGTTCTATCCTCTTAGCTTTTTCTCTGGAAGATATTTCTGAGAAAGGTCAGCTCAAATCCCCTTTACCTAACTTCTGATCAACAGTGAGTCATAGTGATTAAGCACATGGGCTGTGATACCAAGCTTCCTAGGTTGGAATCCTGGCACTGCCACCTTCTAGCTGTATAACCTCTCTGTGCCTGAGCTTCCCTTTTATGCAGCAGTGATAACAAATGATGAGAGGATTAAATACGTTAATACATGTAAAATGCTTAGAATAGAGCCTAGCATAAGGCAACTGCTCAATAAAGGTTACTTTCCTGCTAAGATGTTTCCTCTGACCAAACAGTTGCTTTCTCTTTCCCTAGTACTACAAAAGCTAAAGAAAACTAGCTTTGTTCTTTAATTCCTTTCACATACCTTGTTTGTATGTTTTTAAAGATTCCTGCTTGTGATTATTGCTAATGTGCATTTCATTTGGCCCACTTAAAATGCCACATAAATGAGGATGCTTTATAATATCTTTGTTGCTAATCTCAGAACATGAAGCAGAGACATCTGGCACATGCATTCTCTTTCCTAGCTTCCATAATCAAAATACAAACAATTGCCCATGACAGTTTAATCTTTTGCCATTTTGCAATATTAGCCATGAGAAAAAGAGAGAAGATAGTAGAAAATGCAGATTAGGGTAAATGAAGAAGGATCCAAGGTAGACTATTTCTGTCAATAGAGGAATTTAAAGCAGATTTCTAGTGTGAACAGGTCTCACTTTGAATCAAATATTTGTTCCTGGAAAGTGGCACATATATTGAACTACAGTCATTTTAATCCTATTTTCCCTTTAATTTAAATTAAATGTCATAGATAATTGCATCTTAATTTAGCTATATTCACATCATATTTGTTTTAAATAGAATCAAACATGGTAAAATTGAGGAAAATTTTGTTGTTGGAGCTCTTGTTTCTCTTTTGTGGACCTTATCTCTCTTTTCCCAGCTTCTGTTATCTTTTTTATTATCTCAACAAGGCCAAACTGATAATCTCAGAAAAGAAATCTGAAAAATTAGTTCAAAATAAGGTGTTGATGAATTAGTTATTCAGTCCTCCTGAAAACTATCTTCATTTTACAAGTAGACTGTTAAGGAGAATAAAGATTAATCCAAATGAACACATAGATTAGAATTTCTAGTTATGAAATTTAAGGCAGCGGACCTTCTTGGTAACCCTGTAGGTAATGTCATACATGTGAAGTTGCCTTTGCTGCCTTTCTTCTTTTAGGAAGTCTGTGCCATTTTCATTTGGGAAGACTCATTACCCTGGGTGGACTCCCACCCTTGTTCTAAGTCCCAAATACTGTTGCGTGTTAACCACCACCCCTCTCATGGTTTTTCACTGAAGCTTATATCTTGTTACTCTGATCCTAGATTTTCCAAAGTGTCAATTTCTTACCTAATTGTCCAGGAGCATGTCAGTTGATTAAGATACAGCTAAAAGACAGCCTCTAGTGTTTCAAAAATGAACACCTTATTAATGACTTGAGAGACAAATTCTCACCTACTCTCCTTCCCTTGACTCAATTATCAATTATCTTTATGGTGGGAAATTTAGGTGTGGATGAAGAAAAGTCAGACGATGTGTTTAAGGGGAGTTGGACATTACGGCACTCCTTAAGTCATGAGAAAAAGGCTGACTTCAACTACCCCCGTGCCACACACACACACACACACACACACACATACACACGCACACGCACACGCATACACATATACAGTATCTCTGTCAAGTAGTCATAAGTAAATCAACACTGAAATGAAATAGGAGTGTTCCTATTTTTAAATAACTCTACAGTGAAAACTTTGTAATAGAAAGGATCAGTCTCTAACTCTGATGTTCTATATATATTTTGGTTTTATGAATTTCATCTTCCTAAAGCAAAGATACCCATTAATGATACTCAACTTCTGAAAGATACACAAATAATGAAATAGCTGTCCATTGACAAATAGGTTTCCTTATCAAAATACTTGTTATAACCTGTGTGTTTTATCTTCTGAGATAACTTATAGGATGCATTTGATTTTAGTTGTAAAGTAATTAATTAGATTTTCACCATCTATTACAGAGTATACACACGGCCTCCCTTCCTTGTGCTGACTGTCATGAATGCAGTATGTATTCTTCTGCAAAAGAAACCTAACTGGACAACAGCAAAGTTACTTCTTTCAGAAACTGGTTTCTTAAAAAAGTTGATTAACCTTGACAAGGACAGCTTACCTGATAAGGTAAAAAGTTTAAGGAGGGGATGGGTACATACCTACATAATGAGTGCGATGCACACCACCAGGGGGACGGACTCGCTTGAAGCTCTGATTTGAGGGGCAGGGGAGGCAAGGGCAATATATGTAACCTTAACAACATTTGTACGCCCTAATATGATGAAATAAAAAAAACATAAAAAGTTTATCTCTAATTAATATATATTGATGCATCCCTCATTCATAATATATGGAGTCAAAGAGAAGTATAATAATCGGAATTCTGCATTAGAATTGGCAATTGTAAGAGTCAAAAGATCAGAAATCAAACTGCATATCCAAACTTAACAAGTTTCTTAGAAATGTCAAGAAAAAGTAGCATGTCACCGAAATCAGAAAATGACATGTCTCAGAATCTCTTTAAATAACGAAAAACAGAGGACAATGGTGATTGCATTACACTATGAAAGTACAGTTTGTGTCTAAGACTTACTTTTATTAGTGTAACCAATGTTCATATAACAGTGGGTACCAGACATTGTTCTGAGCCCTTTCCAAGTATTAATTCATGTGGGAGGAAATAAAGGCATATAAAAAATTTAAAGAAAAAATAAAGTATCCTGGAAACTCTAGTGAAGGGTTTTATTGGAGCAGATTTAATTCAGAAGAATGTAGATTTACTATAAAGAGGAAGAGGGCAGTGCCAAAGTCCTGGCCAAGCAGCAGACTTCAAGGCCCTGGTAGCATGGGGCAGGCCATGCTGGACAGGTGAGTTTTGTAGAAAAGAGTATGGCAAAGTAGGCAAGAGGTTACAAAGGCTTGGACCAAGGCACCATAGATAGAAGTTGAAAAAAGGCCAAATGCCATGATGCAGCCACAAGCCAAGTAACTCCTGGAACACCAGAAGCTGGGAGAAGTGAAGAATAGATTCTCTCCTAGAGCGCCATAAGGAATCAAGCCCGACCTTGATTCAGACTTCCAGCCTCCAGAACTGTGAGAGAATAAACTGCTATTGTTTTAAGTCACCCAGCTTGTGGCAATTTATTACGATAGCCACAGGAAACTAATACAGATTTTGGTACTGGAAAGTAGTTGCTGCTATAACTAGGACCTAAAATGTGGAATTGGCAACAGATAGGGACTGGAAGAATATCCAAACTGGAATATTGCATAGGAGCTGAGCTGAGAGCTAAGCTTACAGGCAGACTAATCAATTTCAAGACATATAGATAGCACTGTCCTAAGCTGAGGGGGTGAGTACTTATTAATTCATTCAATAAATATGTAAAGAACATCGTCCCTTGTAAGAGACATTATGATAGAGCAGTTTACACCCCTTGCTGTGTAAAGCTTACACTGTAAGGGGAGACACACATTAAACATCTAATTAGACGGATAATTAATTAGTTACAATGATGATCTGTGCTGTTGGGAAGTATAGGATAATGTCAACCTAAATAACAAACAGAGAGAGCCTCTCTTAAAGAACATGATATTTATTCAGGAATAGGGAATTGTAATGGGAATATGTGTAGTATAGTAAACTATGTGCATATTCAGGGAGGTAAAGGAAGACAAAGGTTTTAAAAGGAAAAATGAAGAGGATTACTCAATTGTTTTGAAATAATTATCCTTGGCTACAGGGATCAATAACAAGGTGCCAGTCTGAGATTGGACAGGCAGTTGCTGAGCAGATGTCCTCACAGAAGTATTTTTGTGTAAGGTTGCAATGGCCATTGTACAAGTTTGCAGGTTTTGCAGTCTTTTGTGATCATTTTTGTTATACGTGAAAACTTTCTCTTCATGGCCTTCCCTGGCTCTATTTGTCGTGTGTTTTCTTTAAACACAAATGACTTCATTTTGATTCTGACAACTTTCACAGCAGTCTGTGAACAAGGTGAATTTTTTGGCACAGTATTAGTGTTGATATCCGTATTATCCATAAATTAATGCAACTCTCTGAAGAATTCTTACCAAATATAAATTCTCTGTGGTTGTGTTTAGATAGACCTTTCAAGCTAAAAATAATTAATACCTCATCTAAAGAAATGATGGAAGACCTAACAGTATTTTAAATGATAATAAGAAATTGTTAGAGAATGGACTACCTGCCATCTAAATTATTCAGGAACATAATTCTATTCTTCCAGGGAAGAGAGAAAATACCTGGATGGAAAGGAAAAAGGAGTCTCAGTCTGAGAAAGACTTCATTCCAATTATGGTTCCCAAAAGTAGATGAGAAATTCTTTATATCTAAACTAAGTGGCACCATTTAGATGAGGTAGATGCAGGCATGTGACACAGCTAAGCTAGAGATTGTCTTCATACTGGAGCCCCAGTGTTGCCTCAGGCCACACTGCCATCATTGACTAGACAGGTCCTTCAGGGGGACTATGCCTTGCCAGTATGCCATCTGAGGAACAGAAGGTAGCGGATGCTATTCCTAGTCACGTCATACCTAAAGTGCATGACAAGACATCAGACCTTTCTAGACACCAAATTCCCAAAGCTGGAGAAAGTTAGCATGTTTTCATTTTTATTTTTAAATGGAGTTTCTTTTTAAAAACTATATCAAAGCTACTATAACAACAATACAAACAGGAGAATATTTATAATAGAAGCTTTTCCCCTTCCCAGTACTAGGGCCATTTTTGTGGCCAGGTATATATGTCCTATTTCACTGCTAAAAAGTAGTTGAATATTTCTTACATGAAATAAAATTTCAATATAATGTAGATTGGGAAAAGCTTCAGATCAATAATATATCTTTCTCATGTAATACCTGTATTCTCTCTAGGTTTTCATGAAGCTGAAAAAAATTTTAATCTTGCCTGATTTCAACCCAAAAAAGATTGCTTTGGTTTCCGTTGCTTGTTGCTCTATGTGCCAGTGGGTTATAGCTTTGAATAACTACCATGAAGTACAGAAGGTATGCTTTTTCCTCCTAAATATCTATAGTGATTTAGAAGTAATACATCAAAGTCCCAGAAATAATTTTTTTAACAATATTCAAATAAGCTTCCATGGAAAGAATATCTAATGAAAAACACTTTAATTGAATGTTATCCTAACTCACTCAAATGTCAGGCTCCTATTAATTTTTTATTTATGGCAACTGTACTATCATTTGTTTTTTTTAATACGTTTCATCATAATAAGCTACTTTACATCCCACATGTTACATAATTATAGGAAAATTTATTTTAATGGTTGACACTTATGTCTTTCTTTTAAATTTATTTAATTTTTATTTTTCATTATTATGGGTACATAATAGTTATATATCTTTATAGGGTACATGTGATGTTTTGATACAGGCATACAATGTGAATTAATCAAATCAGGGTAATTGGGGTGTCCATCGCCTCAAACATTTATCATTTTTGTGTGTTGGGAACATTCCAATTCTACTCTTTCAGTTATTTTAAAGTATACTCAACTTATTGTTGATTATAGTCTCTTTGTTGTGCTATCAAATATTGTTCATTCTAACTATCTAACTATACTTTTCCACCCATTAACCATCCCCACTTTGTCCTCCCTCTCCCTGCTACCCTTCGCAGCCTCTGGTAAGTGTCATTATACTCTACATCTCCATGAGATCGATTGTTTTAGTATTTAACTTCCACACATGAGTGAGAACATGCAAAATTTGTCTTTCTGTGCTTATTAGATTATTTCAACTAACATCATGTTCTCCAGTTTCATCCATGTTGTTGCAAATGACATGATTTCATTCTTTTGTGTGGTTATATAATATGCCATTGCATATATGTACCAAAATTTCTTTATCCATCCATCCACTGATGGACACTTAGGTTGATTCCAAATCTTGGCTACTGTGAGTAGTGCTGCAATAAATATGGGAGTGTAAATATATTTTTGATATACTGAATTCCCCTCCTTTGGGTATATATCCAGCAGTGGGATTGTTGAGTCATATGGTAGTTCCAGTTTAATTTTTTGAGGAACATCCATACTGTTCTCCATAGAGACAACCATAACTTACATTCCCACCAACAGTATATGTGTTCCTCTTTCTCCACATCCTCACCAGCATTCCTTATTGCCTGTCTTGTTGCTAAAAGCCATTTTAAATGGGGTAAGATGATATCTCATTGTAGTTTTCATTTGTATTTCTCTGTTGACTAATGATGTTGAGCATTTTTTCATATACCTATTGGATATTTGTATGTCTTCTTTTGAGAAATGTCTATTCATATCCTTTGCCAATTTTTTAATGGGATTATTTGATTTTTTCCTATTCAGTTGTTTGAGCTCCTTACATATTCTGGTTATTAATCCCTTGTCACATGGGTAGGTTTGCAAATATTTTCTCCCATTCTGTGGGTTGTCTCTTCACTTTGTTTATTGTTTAGTTTGCTTTACAGAAGCTTTTTAGCTTGAAGTGATCCAATTTGTTCAATTTAGCTTTGGTTGCCTGTGCTTTGGGGGTATTATACAAGAAGTCCTTGCCCAGACCAAGGTCCTGAAGTGTTTCCCCAGTGTTTCTTTTAGTAGTTTAATAGTTTCAGGTCTTAGATTTAAGTTTTCAATACATTTTTATTTGATTTTTGTATATAGCAAGAGATAAGGATCTAGTTTCATTCTCCTGCATATAGATATTTAGTTTTCCTATACTTTTTATTGAAGAGACTGTCCTTTCCCCAGTGTATGTTCTTGGCACCTGTCTCAGAGATAAGTTCACTATAGATGTGTGGATTTTTTCTGGGTTCTCTATTCTGTTCTATTGGTGTGTGTCTGTTAGTAAGCCCCCTTGAGTCAGAGCTTCAAGCGTGACCATCCCCCAAACGTTGCACATCTTACTCACTGTGTTTGTATATACCCATCCTCTCCTCCCCCCCCCACCTACCCAACACCCGATAAATGTTATTCCTATATGTCCACCTAGGGGTTGATCCGTTAATACCAATTTGCTGGTGAGTACATGTGGTGCTGGTTTTTCCATTCTTGAGATACTTCACTTAAAAGAATGGGTTCCAGTTCTATCCAGGAATGTACAAGAGGTGCTATATCACTATTGTTTCTTAAAGCTGAATAGTACACCATGGTATACATATACCACATTTTATTAATCCACCCACTAATAGATGGGCACTTGGGTTGTTTCCACAGCTTTGCAATTGTGAATTGTGCTGCTATAAACATTCGAGTGCATGTGTCTTTTTCATAAAGTGACTTTTGATCTTTTGGGTAGATGCCCAGTAGTGGAATTGCTGGATCAAATGTTAGATCCATTTGTATCGCTTTGAGGTATCTCCATATTGCTTTCCACAGAGGTCAACTAGTTTGCAGTCCCACCAGCAGTGTAGGAGTGTTCATATCTCTCTGCATCCACGCCAATATTTATTGTTTGGGGACTTTTTGATAAAGGCCATTCTTACTGGAGATAGGTGATATCTCATTGTGGTTTTGATTTGCATTTCCCTGATGATTAGAGATGTTGAGCATTTTTTCATATGTTTGTTGACCATTATTCTGTCTTCTTTTGAGAAGTTTCTGTTCATGTCCTTTGCCCATTTTTTGCTAGTGTTGTTTGATTTTTTCTTGCTGATTTTCCTGAGTTCTAAATAAATTCTAGTTATCAGCCCTTTATCAGATGTGTAGCTTGCAAATATTTTCTCCCATTCTATGAGTTGTCTGTTTCCTCTCTTGACAGTTTCTTTGGCTATGCAGAAGCTTTTTAATGTTATGAGGTCCCATTTATTTATTTTTGTTGATGCTGTGATTGCCTTTGGAGTCTTCTTCATAAATTCTTTGCCTAGGCCAATGTCTAGAAGGGTATTTCCAACGTTTTCCTCTAACATTCTAATAGTTGCACACCTAAGGTTCAAGTCTGTTACCCAGCGTGAGTTGATTTTTCTGAGAGGTGAAAGGTGTGGGTCCTGTTTCAGTCTTCTACATGTGGCTATCCAGTTTTCCCAGCACCATTTATTGAATAAGGATTCTTTTCCCCAGTGTATGGTTTTGTCTGCTTTGTTGAAGATTAGTTGCTTGTCTGAGGATGGTTTCATATCTGGGTTCTCTGTTCTGTTCCACTGGTCAATGTCCCTGTTCTTGTGCCAGTCCCATGCTGTTTTAATGACTATAGCCTTGTAGTATAGTTTGAAGTCTGGTAAATTAATACCTCCTATTTTGTTTTTATTGCCTAGGATTGATTTTGCTATATGGGGTCCTCTCTGGTTCCATACAAAATGTAAAATTATTTTTCTATATCTGTGAAAAAAGATAATGGTATTTTCATAGGGATTGCATTCACTCTGTAGGTCACTTTGGGTAGTATAGACTTTTTAACACTGTTGATTCTGCCGACCCATGAGCATGGTATGTTCTTCCATCTGTTTACGTCCTCTGCTATTTCCTTCTTCGGTGTTTCATAGTTCTCCCTGTAGAGATCTTTTACCTCCTTAGTTAAATATATTCCTAGGTACTTTATTTTTTTTGTTGCTATTTTGAAGGGAATTGAGCCTTTGATTTAGTTCTCACTTTTACTGTTGTTGGCGTATATGAATGCCTCTGATTTCTGTGTATTGATTTTGTATCCTGAGACTTTACCAAATTCATTTATCAATTCAAGGAATCTCTTGGTTGAATCCTTGGGGTTTTCTAGGTATAATATCATGTCATCAGCAAACAGTAAGGGTTTTATCTCCTCTGCTCCCATTTGGATGCCCTTAATTCCACTCTCTAGTCTGATTGCTGTAACAAGGCCTTCCAGCACTATGTTGAACAGAAGTGGAGATGGTGGGCAACCTTATCTTGTTCCAGTTCTACGTGGGAATTCTTTCAATTTTTCCCCATTCAGTATGATATTTGCTGTAGGTTTGTCATATATGGCTTGTATCATTTTTAGGTGAGCCCCATCTATGCCTATTTTGTTGAGTGTTCTTATCATAAAAGGGTGTTGAATTTTGTCAAATGCTTTTCTTGTGTCTATTTAGAGAATCATATACTCTTTGTTTTGGTTCAGTTTATATGGTGAATTACATTTATAGCTTTGCATATGTTGAACCATCCCTGCATCCCTGGGATGAAGCCCACTTTGTTGTGATGGATTATTTTCTTGACAAGCATCTGAATTTGATTAGCTAAGATTTTGTCGAGAGTTTTTGCCTCTATATTCATAAGGGATATTGGTCTGTAGTTTTCTTTTTTGGTTGCATCCTTTCCTGGTTTTGGTTAAGGGTTATGTTCACTTCATAAAATGTGCTTCTTGATGTTGTGGAATAATTTCTGCAGGACAGGCACTGGTTCTTCTTTGTAGGTGTGGTAAAATTCAGGTGTAAAACCATCTGGTCTAGGACTTTTCTTTTTAGGAAGGTTTTTTATTGCTGTTCCAATTTCAGTACTTGATATTGGTCTGTTCAGGAATTCTGTTTCTTCCTGATTGAGCCTAGGGAGGCTGTGTGTTTCTAAGAATTTGTCCATTTCCTCCACATTTTCCAGTTTGTGTGCATAGAGGTTTTTGTAGCATGCATAAATTATATCTTGTATCTCCATGGCATCCATTGTAATTTTCCTTTATTGTTCCTGATGGAGATTATTAGAGATTTTCCTTTTCTGCTTTTCGTTAGTCTAGCCAATAGTGTGTCAATTTTGTTTATTTTTTCAAAGAACCTACTTTTTGTTTTATCAATCTTCCTTATGGTTTCCCTGTTGTCAATTTCGTTTAGTTCTGATTTGATCTTAATGATTTCACTTCTTCTGCTGGGTTTGGGGTCGGTCTGTTCTTCCTTTTCCATCTCTTTGAGATGATTCATTAGGTTGTCTATTTGTGATCTTTTCGACTTTTGGATATAGGCATTTATGGAAATAAACATTCCTCTCAGGACTGCTTTAGCTCTGTCCCACGGGTTTTCATAACTTGTGTCTCCTTGGTCATGTAGTTCAAAGCATCTTTTTATTTCC